CATGCAGAGACGGCCAGAGAGTGTCCCCACCTGGAGGGGTGAGGGTTTGCTGGGGGAGCTACAGGCTCTCAGAGCCTCAGAGCATGCTCCTCGAGGCATGGAAAAGAGGACAGGCTCATCAGGCAAACCCAGGTTTGAATCTCGGCTCTGTTACTACCTGGGAGAGTTTGGGCAAGTTAATGAAGCCCTCTGGATCGCAAGTTTCTTATCTGCAATAGAAGGGGGACAACAGCAGCTCTCTCACCGGCCATTAGTAAGATGCCAAGAATAACCTATGAGAGCACCTGGCATTGGGCTGCTTCTGCTCCGGATGAATTTCTGTCTTTCCAGGGCATGGGTCGGGGGTTGGAGGCACTCTTCTCCAACTTGAGGCATCCAGGAGAGCCAGCTGGGATGAAGGACAATTCCTATCAGGGTGAAGGGGCTGCCACCCAGACCCAAAGCCCCTCTGCTTCGCTCCCGCCCTGTGCCCTGCCCTGCCCCAGACCGTTTTCAGGCCACAGGCTGCCCGGTTCCGATAAAGCGTGGCCAGCAGGGCCTTGTCCTTGGTGAGCTTCAGGGCCTGGCTGTAGCTCTTTGTGGCAGCCTTGTAGTCCTGGAGCTGGAAATGCCGATTCCCTTCCTCCTTCAGCTGTACCGCTTCTGCCTCTGCCATCTGCTGGGACAGGAGCAGCTCCGTCGGTCAGCCCCTCACTCCACACTCAGGGCTGGGCTCCTGGCCTGAGGTCTGGAGCTCCAGGGTCCTCTTGCACCAGAGACGATGGAAGGGTCCCACCCCCAAAACCCCCAAATCTATTTCCCCATGAGGACATTACAGCATTTACTCAGAGCCCCTGTGCCTCACTCTCTGCCCCTCCCAGCCTGAGCAGGCAAAGCCACGCAGTTCGTGCCAAAGGCCTGAACTCTCCTTGCAGGTCTTAGAAGTCGCTGTCTCCCTCCCCAGCCCAGGGCACACCCCAGACCCCCCCCACCCCCCCACCCCGCTCACTTTCTCTCTGAGGACAATGCTTCCGATCTACCCTCCTGTGAGGCTGCTCCCCTGAGCACTCCTGTGTCAACCAGCCAGCCTCAAAATGCACCTCCCAGCCCCCACCCAAGAGATTTTCTTGCCTCAACCAGTGGCTCTGGACCATATTTGGCCACAGGGGCAGGTGCCCCTGGAGTCTGTCACTGATACTCAGGTTCCTCCCCCTCTGCAGACTGGTCAATCATGACCACGTGGAGGGGCTGACCAGCCTATGCCCAAGCACCCCACTCTGGGGCATCCTGGGAAACTCAGACGCTCACACCCCAAACAGAGACAGAAAGATCCAGAAGGGACGGGAACCCCCCCAGCAGATCCCCTCCCTGGGCACAGCTCTAATGCCCCTTTCCCCCTCTATCCCAGATAAACAGCCTCCTCTCCCTCCCCTCAACCATTGCTATTTTGGGAGTAGAGTGACAGCTGAGGGGCTGACAGACTTGGACACATAGCAGTTGCTCAGATCCCAGACCAGCTGGAGACTTCCAGAAATACCTTTCTGGAGGGAGGAGGGAGGGAACAGGGGAAGAAAGTTCCTTCCTTTTTCCACTTCTGCGCAACACCTCAACCCACCCTGCTTTCATGTGTTGAAAATGTCTTCACTTTTCAGAAAGACCAACAGGACTTGCTAACTCAGTTTAGTGTGAGTGAGTGGTTCGTTAGTTTCAGTCCGCATGTGGTCTCCTGTTCCTCCCCCGTGTATGGAGTGCATATATTCAGACTACCTCTCCCATCGGATTGGGAGCTCTCAGAGAGTGGGCTTTGTCTCTCCATCAGACTGAAATCTCCTAGGGCAAAGGTCGGGTCAGACTGGAGATTCCCTGGGACCAAAGTTCCCCCCACCCGACTGGGAACTCTTCTGGGACACACTGAGGCTCCCTCCTCAGAAGGAAGTCTTCTGGGACAAGAACTATGTATTCACCATCACAGAGGGGTCTCTCCTAGGCAAGAATGTTTCTCCTTAGCTAACTGGGAGTTCCTGAAGCAAATTTATGACGTTGTTCCCACTTGGACCCAGAACTCTTCTGCATTTCAGTGGCCCCAAGCCTGGGCTGTGAGCTCCCTCCTGAAAAGCAAAGATAGCATCCCATGCAGCTTGTCCCCTAACCCGCTCCCTGCACAGGTTCTGGCACAGTCAGTGTTCGAAGTGTGTTTCCTTAATGGAATGAATGTATGAATGAAAGAATGGTGTCTTCATGCTGACGATTTCCTCTACTCACCTCTCGTCCCTCTCCCCTCCACCCCACACATATCTTCAAACTTACCTGGTGAAGCTGAGAAAGACACAGAAGAAAGTCTCAGGTGGAATCACTCATACTAGATTCTACTCCCAGACATGTGACCTTGGACACACAGCTACGTGACCTTGTAAAGGTTCTACTGCCTTGCTGGACACAAAGCCCAGCAGTAACACGTTTGTTGAATGAGCAAATAAATGAATGAATAGATTGATGAATTCCCTGCCTTCATGTTATCGTGAGCCCTGGGCCGCTTTGTGGGGCAAGCTCTCTACAGCAATGAGGTAATAGGATAAATGATCCTGACACTGGCAAAGACCTGTGGCTCTGTGACTTTAGGTCCAAAGGATCTTATATTCAAATACTGATTCAGTAATTCATTCCACAAGCATTTCTTAACATTTTGTTGTTGTTGTTGTTTTTGAGACTGAGTCTTGTTCTGCTGCCCAGGCCGGAGTGCAGTGGAGCAATCTTGGCTCACTGAACCTCCAGCTCCTGGGTTCAAGCAATTCTCCTGTTTCAGCCTCCCAAGTAGCTGAGATAACAGGTGTGTGCCACTGCTCCCAGCTAATTTTTGTATTTTCATTAGAGACGGGGTTTCTTCATATTGACCAGGCTGGTCTCGAGCTCCTGACCTTGTGATCCACCTGCCTTGGCCTCCTAAAGTGCTGGGATTGCAGGCGTTAGCAATCCCAGCCCATATTGCTTAAACATCTATTATGTGCCAGGAACTGTGAAGCATAGAACACTCATGAGGGTAAGGGTTTGTGTCTAGGTTGTTCCCTTACATATTCCAAGCGTTTGTAACAATGGGTGGCACATAGAAAGTGGTCAATGAGGCCAGGTGTGATGGCTTATGCCTATAATCCCAGCATTTTGTGAGGCCAAGGCAGGTGGATCACCTGAGGTCATGGGTTTGAGATCAGCCTGGCCAACATGGCGAAACCCCGTTTCTACTAAAATTACAAAAATTAGCCGAGCATGGCGGCAGGTGCCTGTAATCCTGTCTACTAGGGAGGTTGAGGCAGGAGAATCAGCTGAACCCAGGAGGTGGAGGTTGCCGTGAGCCAAAATTGCACCACTGCACTCCAGCCTGGGTGACAGAGCAAGATTCTGTCACAAAAAAAAAAAAAGAGAAAAAAGAAAAAGAAAGTGCTCAACAGTATTCACTGAATGAATGAAAGAAATAATTCCATGGATCTGTGATTCTGTGATTTCTTTTTTTTTTTTTTTTGAGACAGGGTCTCATTGTCACAAACGGCGTACAGTGACGTGATCACAGCTCACTGCAGCCTTAACCTTCAGGTTCAAGCATTTCGCCCATCTCAGCCTCCTGAGTAGCTGGGACTGCTGGTGTGTGCCACCTGGCTATTAAAAAAAATATTTCTGTAGAGACAAGGTCTCACCGTGTTGCCCAGTCTGGTCTCAAACTCTTGGGACAAGAGTGAGACTTCGTCTCAAAAAAAAAAAAAGAGAGAGAGGCAGGAATGGAAACAGGGCTCATCAGGGGGCTGTTGTAGTGGTTCAGGCAGGTGATGATGGTGACTCTGACCAGAGTGGGGCGGTGGAGATGGGGAGAGCAGATTCAAGCTGTGTTCAGGAGGTTGACTTGGCAGAGCTTGAGACTGCCTGAGCAGGGGAGTGAGGGAGAGGAGAGTTGGCAAGGGAGATCCTATGTCTCAGGCAAGAGAGCCCAAGTTCATTGCTGTCTGCTTCAGTTCCTCCTCTGTAATATGGGGAGAAAAGAGTTGTGAGAATTAAATGAGTTATGTGGGAAAAGCACTTGGAACAATTCCTGACTCACTGATGTCATTATCACTATTATTGCTTTACAGGGTTGATGATTGTAGAAATGGTTTGCTTTTGTACTCAAGTATTATTAATTGAGTTGATCCATTTTATGTATGTATGTATGTATGTATGTATGTATTGAGACAGAGTCTTGCTCTGTCACCCAGGCTGGAGTGCAATGAAGAGAGCTTGGCTCACTGCTACCTCTGCCCCTCGAGTTCAAGTGATCTACCATGTCAGCCTCCCAAGTAGCTGGGACCACAGGTGCATGCCACCACGCCTGGCTAATTTTTTTGTATTTTTATTAGAGACGCGGTTTCACCACGTTGGCCGGGCTGCTCTCGAACTCCTGGGCTCGAGTGATCTGCCCACTGCAGCCTCCCAAGCTGGGATTACAGGCGCAAACCACCATACCAGGCCTTGACATGATCTATTTTTTAAAAGGATACTAATTTGTAGGCCAGGCGTGGTGGGTCACACCTGTAATCCCAGCACTTCGGGGAGTGGGGGAGTCATTGCTTTAGTTCAGGAGTTTGAGATCAGCCTGGGCAACATAGTGAGACCTCGTCTCTACAAAAAGTGAGGAAAAAAAATAAACAGGCAGGGTGTCTTGTGCCTGGAGTCCAGGCTACTCGGGAGGCTGAGGTGGGAGAACGCTTGAGCCCTGGACTTCGAGACAGCAGTGAGCAGTGATGGTGCCACTGCATTCTAGTCTGGGCGACGGAGTGGAACCCTGTCTCAAAACAAAATTAAATTAAAATTAAAACGGGGCAAAAATCCCTGTTGTGAAGGGTCAAAACTTGGCTGTGTCCTCTAAGACCCTGGGAAAAAATTAATGTGAATGCTGTCAAGAGGCGGGTGGAACACCAAGTAAGCTCATTTCTAATCCCTGAGGCCAGGCAAAGCGGGACGCTTCTCCTCCCCAACAGCAGAGGGCAATGTGGCCGGCGGCGACCCCGCCCGACCACGGAGACGGCGCTCTGTCTGCCGGGCTCTTTCTTCTCCACGTGGGGACGCAGGATGGCGGCGGCGGTGGCGGTGGGTGTGCGTGGATGGGGGCGGGGGCGTCACGGCGACGCTTGGGCCCGGGTCCCTGAGGCCGGAGGGAGGCGAAGTGGGGCCTTTCTGGAAGGGCGACGAGGCTGACTGCCGCCCCGCTTGCTCGCGCAGGAGGAGGCGGCGGTGCGCGACGTTCAGCGGTTGCTAGTGCAGTTCCAGGATGAGGGCGGGCAGCTGCTGGGCTCCCCGTTCGACGTGCCCGTGGACATTACCCCGGACAGGCTGCAGCTCGTGTGCAACGCGCTACTGGCCCAGGTGAGTGGCTGGCCAGGTGAGCCTTGCGTCTCTTACCCCGAGCGGGCGCAGTGGGGGAATCAGATGACCTAGTAACCGACAGGGGCGACTTACCTGGTGTAAGTTCCCACCTATGTCTGGGGAATCAGAGATGGAAGCTGTGGCAAAGCGCAGGGCCCACCTGCGGTGAAGGGCCTAGCCTTGAACGCATTGGGTGCTATATTTCATTGGTTCTTTGTCATAGCCCCCCAAGATGGGACACATTAATATCTCCATTTTACATCGTGGCCCGGAGGGACTGAGCTATTTGCACGATGCTATGCAGTAGGTAGTAGATTTGGAATTGGAAACCAAAACTATCTGAATACCCATGCTTTTAACCTTTAAGCCAATGTTTACCGAAATGCTGCCCTGGGGAGAGGGGAGGGCCTTAAAAATGCAGTTCCTGGACCCCACCCCAGATTTACTAAACCAAACACTGGGATAAAACATTCAGGAGGTCTACATTTTTTAACAGGCTTTTTGGGTGCTTATTACACAAATATAGTGTGGTGTGGTGGTTTGGGAAACACTGTGTAATGCTATATGTTAATCCTATCTTGGACCTAAAGAAGCTGAATTAATCGTTGGCAATAGGACATTGAACTAATTACTTAGTTGTTCTGAGCCTCTGCTTTTGAAACTGTTACTGGGAATATTAGTGTCTACTTCTCAGGGTTGTTATGAGATGCAGATAAAGAATTTCAGGCTGGTCTCACGCCTGTAATCCCAACACAGGGAGGCTGAGGTGGGCAGATCACTTGAGGTCAGGAGTTTGAGACCAGCCTAGCCAACATAGAGAAACCAGTCTGTACTAAAAATACAAAAATTAGCTGGGCGTGGTGGCAGGTGCCTGTAGTCCCAGCCTATCAAGAGGCTGAGGCATGAGAATCATTTGAACCCAGGAAGCTGAGGATGCAGTGAACCAAGATCTCGCCACTGCACTCTAGCCTGGGTAACTGAGCAAGATTCCATCTCAAAAGAAAGAAAAAAGAATTTCAAAGTGCCGTGTAAGTGTCCTATAACTGCTGTTCAGTGATTTAAAAGGTCTTGCTAGTCTGGGCGTAGTGGCTCATGCCTGTAATCCCAGCACTTTGGGAGGCTAAGATAGGTGGATCATCTGAGATCAGGAGTTTGAGACCAGCCTGGCCAACATGGCAAAACACCGTATCTAAGGAAAAAAAAAAAAAAAACCCACCATATCTACTAAAAATACAAAGCTTAGCTAGGCCTGGTGGTGGGTGCCTGTAAGCCCAGCTACATGGGAGGCTGAGGCAGGAGAATCACTTGAACCCAGGAGTCAGAGGTTACAGTGAGCAAAGATTGTGCCACTGCACTCCAGGCTGGTTGACAGAGCGAGACTCTGTCTCAAAAATAAATAAGTTAATTAATTAAAAGTCTCACTCAATGGGCAGTGATGGGCATATCCGTAGCCTGGTGGCTGAAAAGAAGCAGCTTCATCTCCCGCAGCTCAGTGGGGAACTTCCTTGGCAGAGGGTGCCCCTGCACATCCTTTGATGCGGGGTTGCTCTTTATCATTGCCCTTCAGGAGGATCCCCTGCCGCTGGCTTTCTTTGTCCAAGATGCTGAGATTGTCTCCTCTCTGGGGAAGACATTGGAGTCCCAAGCAGTGGAGACAGAGAAGGTCCTAGACATCATCTACCAGCCACAGGCTGTCTTCAGAGTCCGGGCTGTGACTCGCTGCACCAGCTCCTTGGAGGGTCACAGTGAGGCAGTCATTTCTGTGGCCTTCAGCCCCACAGGAAAGTAAGGACAGCTGCAGACTCACGGAGGGGGTATGTGGGGGTGTAGTTCCTGGTGTGGGGAGGGTCCCCCAGAGTTATAATTGATGGAGCCTCAGGGTTGCCTACCATAGACCCAAGCTCTGGACTCAGCTTGCAATTAAGCGATTTCCACAGTAGGGCATGCTCCCCAAAGACTAAGGACCCCTGCCTAGGACAGACCTTTCCTGGACTTGATTTCGGAAGATCTGAGCTGCGTGACTTGTATAACTCACTTAACCTTTCTGAGTTAATTTTTCATCTGTGAAACTGGGGTTAATTGCTTCTCTCAATTTTATGAAGGTGTTGAGAAGCTTCTTCAAAAGCTGGTTATAGCTCTGGAGAGGAAAGAAATGGTCTCCTGAGGTATTCTTCCAGATGGCAACATCAGTATTGTCTTTCTACTTTTTAGGGGAGAGGGGAGTCCCATTCCATATTCTATTCACAGAAAGCGATTGACTAGGTGGCAGAAATGCACATACGCAGTGTTAACCATCCTCTCTTCTTCAGGTACCTGGCCAGTGGCTCTGGAGACACCACTGTGCGCTTCTGGGATCTCGGCACAGAGACACCGCATTTCACATGCAAGGGTCAGTATGCAATTAGCCATTTAGGGGGTCTTCTTTTTTTTATTTGAGACAGGGTCTTGCTGCTCTGTTGACCAGAATGGGTCATCACGGCTCACTTGAACTCCTGGGCTCAAGCAGCTCCCCTACCTCAGCCTCCAGAGTAGCTGGGACTACAGGCACTTGCCACCATACCTTGCTCGTTTTTGTTCTGCAGAGATGAGGGTCTCCCTTTGCAGATTACAACCCCTTAATAGTTAGCGGCTGTCTGTTCCTAGGTAGAGACCATGTCCTTGAGCCCAGCCAGCCCCTTAGACACAAGCAGAACTGCACGAAGGAGTCAATGTGGGATGTAGGGAGAGGCTGACTGACTGGTAGCAACAGATTGCAACCAGTCATGGTGGCTCATGCCTAATATCCCAGCACTTTAGGAGGCCGAGGCAGGCAGATCACTTGAGGTCCGGAGTTCAAGACCAACCTGACCAACACAGTGAAACCCCATCTCTACTAAAAATACAAAAATTAGCCAGGCACAGGGGCATGTGTTTATAATCCCAGCTACTCGGGAGGCTGAGGCAGGAGAATTGCTTGAATCTAGGAGGTGGAGGTTGCAGTGAACCGAGATGGCCCCATTGCACTCTAGCTTGGGCGACAGAGTGAAACTCCATCTCAAAAAAACAAAGCAAACAAACTAAATTACAGATTTCTGGGTCCTACCCCCAGAGTTTTAGCTCTATCGGGCCTGAGAATTTCCGTTTCTACCAGGTTCCCAGTGATGCTGCTGCTGATGCTCTGGGAACCACCCTTGAAGAACCACTGCTATACCACCGATTAGCTGAGTGACCTTGTGTGTGCAGGTCATGTTCCCTTTCTGAGCTTCAGTTTTCTCATCTGGAAAATGTGGATGATAATTCTCACTTTGCGCCATACTTTAGAGCCCTCGTAAGAACAACAAGGGATGACATGTACGAAAACACTTCACAATATGTGTGACATAAGGAATCATTAGAGAGTGTTGGTGTTATCTGTGCGGCAAGATGCACAGCTCTAACACTTGGGGTGCATTCTCTCCATCCCTAGAAAGCCTCATCACTCCTTTTGTTTGATCATTCATTTATTCAAATGGTTAAGGAGTACCTGGCACCTGCCAGGCATTGTTGGGTACTGAGGATAAAGAGACTTAGTCCCTTATATCTCCCTCCTCTGCTTTCTTAGGACACAGACACTGGGTCCTTAGTATATCCTGGTCTCCAGATGGCAAGAAGCTGGCCTCAGGCTGCAAGAATGGCCAGGTAGGTGGTGCTCAGGGTAACAAGCAGAGACTTATCCCTAGGGGACTGTTCAGACTCGGGTTCCGGAGTCATCGGGGAGGGTTGGGTGGGAAGTGGTAGGCAGGAATTTTTGGTGGAGCCAGAGACCTGTTGGGGAGGATTATTCACTGAGCTTCTGTCCTTCAGATTCTCCTCTGGGACCCAAGCACAGGGAAACAGGTGGGCAGGACCCTCACTGGCCACAGCAAGTGGATCACAGGCCTGAGCTGGGAGCCCCTCCATGTGTAAGTGACACTGACCAAGCTGGGACAGATGAGGAGTCAGGAGATCAAAGCCATCCCCCTTCCCTGCTCAATGCATAGATGTTTTACATGAGGGGATAAGATGGGCAGCCTGAATGACCATGATGGCTTGGCAGACACGGGAGATGGTCTTCCAGATACAGAGCTGCGTTGCTGCTTGGGAGAGGCTGCTCATCACAGGGCCTGCTCATTGCAACCACCTTGCAGTGCAGCCAGGTCTTGGTGTCAGAAAGCTGTCAAGAGATTGTCCATGGCCTTGAATTGGGAATGGGGAGGTGCCATGGGGAGACAGCTGTTGCCAGGTCACGGATGGGGTCACATCTCCCTTCTCGCCAGGAACCCTGAGTGCCGCTATGTGGCCAGCAGCTCCAAGGATGGCAGTGTGCGGATCTGGGACACAACTGCAGGCCGCTGTGAGCGCATCCTCACCGGGCACACCCAGTCGGTCACCTGTCTCCGGTGGGGAGGGGACGGACTTCTCTACTCTGCCTCCCAGGACCGCACCATCAAAGTCTGGAGGGCTCATGACGTAAGAGCTGAGAGGGTTCAGAAACCAGTCCAGAAAATCTAAGTCACAAGATGCTTGCACTGGAAACAAACTTGACATCAGCGAGTCCAGTGTTTCCCAGATGTGTGATGGGAACATCAAGGGAGGTGTTTTGGGAATGAGGAGTTGTATGGTTGGTGCTGCACCGCAGTAGAGATGCCAGAGTCCTCATGGGATCATCACGCTTTGGAAAGGCCTGCTTTAGGAAGCCAGTTGCCCTTTATCACACCCACCATATACCAAACTTATTAGACTGGAACATTTTCCTCTGACATACCTAACTCCTCTTCTATGTAACATTTTCGTGATCTGGACTCCGTTTTACAAATGGGGAGAGACTTGACCCCAGAGGGTTAGTTTGATTAGGATCACAGTGAATGAGTGATGGTGATTTTTAGTGCTGTACCACCCATCTCCTGGAGCTAATCTCCCAGGGGTGGGGAGGGGTATGTATGTCTGACCTGATTCACTCTCCCCTAGGGTGTGCTGTGCCGGACTCTGCAAGGCCACGGCCACTGGGTGAACACCATGGCCCTCAGCACTGACTATGCCCTGCGCACTGGGGCCTTTGAACCTGCTGAGGCCTCGGTTAATCCCCAAGATCTCCAAGGATCCTGTGAGTTACCGGGAGAAGGAAGAGCCGGGGCTGCTGGGGAAGGGGCCAGCTCTCTCTCAGATTTTCTAATCGGCCTTGTTCCTCATCTCCTTTTCTCCCCGCTGGTACCTGGACACAGTGCAAGAGGTGAAGGAGAGGGCTCTGAGCCGATACAACCTCGTGCGGGTGAGTGTGTACCAGCCACATGCTCCCCTAGCTCTGTACAAGTCCTTAGCCAATCACTACAACCCTCTCAGACCCCTCTCCCTTCTAGACCCAGCTCAGAATGTACCTGTTTCAAAAAGTTGTTCTTCATCATTCTGGTTTACAATCCTGAAATCTTAATGTGCTAGGGATCATTTTATTTCATTTTTTCAGTTTATTTGCTTATCTATTTATTATATTTCCAAGATGCCTCTTCTTTTATTTTAGTTTGTTTTATTTAAGATTGTTTACACATTCAGATTCCAAGAATACAAAAAGGTAGATCTTGAAGTCTCCCATCTCTGTTGTAGCATCCAGTGCTACCAATATCCTGAGTCACCTGCCAGAGATTTGATATACACATATACATGTGTATGTATACAGCATATATTTATAAGCACACACACGTATATACATAAAATCCTTCTCATTTTAACATATTATTTTGTGCCTTGCTTTTTCTGTAATTATGTATCTTAAATTTTTTTTGTACATGCCTGTGGAGTTTTTTTTCCTTTTAAGGTGAAGTGACTTGCCTGGGGTCACATGTGAGTGAGTGGCCAACCCAGTCCTCATGGCTCCTAGTGCTGGCCTCTGTCTGTCCCTGGCATTGAGTAATCAGGGTGTGTGTTTGCTTCCAAAGCCAGGCCCCCCTCCTTCTTTCTGAGACCACACCCAACACAGTGTGCTTTCTGCCTCCCCTAGGGCCAGGGTCCAGAGAGGCTGGTGTCCGGCTCAGACGACTTCACCTTATTCCTGTGGTCCCCAGCAGAGGACAAAAAGCCTCTCACTCGGATGACAGGACACCAAGCTCTCATCAACCAGGTGCTCTTCTCTCCAGACTCCCGCATCGTGGCTAGTGCCTCCTTTGACAAGTCCATCAAGCTGTGGGATGGCAGGACGGGCAAGTGAGTGGTGGGGGGGGGGGGGGTGTCCTGCTCCTCTGTAAGGAATGGATAGTGGGAGGGGCTTGGCACTGCCACTAGCTGTGTGGCCTTGCCAGGTATTTGGATATTAAAATTTTCTAAGCTTCTGTTTCCTCTTCGGTAATATGCAGACCTCCTACTTCTCAGCTTTGTTACAGGGGTTTTTTGTTGTTGTTGTTGTTGCTGTTGTTGAGACGGAGTCTCACTCTGTCACCCAGGCTGTGTGTGCACCCAGGAGTGCAATGGCACAATCTCAGCTCACTGCAGCCTCCACCTCCCAGGTTCAAGTGATTCTCCTGCCCCAGCCTCCCAAGTAGCTGGGATTACAGGCCCCCACCACCATGCCTGGCTAATTTTTGTATTTTTAGTAGAGCCCGGGGTTTTGCAGTGTTGGTCAGCTGGTCTTGAACTCCTGAGCTCAAGTGATCTGACCACCTCAGCCTCCCAAAGTGCTGAGATTACAGATGTGAGCCACCAAGCCCAGACTAGTTACAAAGATTTAATGAGACAGTATGTTTAGGACCCGCACTAAGTGGTCACTAAAAATGCTAGTTCAGGTGGGCACAGTGGCTTGTGCCTATAATCCCAGCACTTTAGGAGGCCAAGGCAGGTGGATCACCTGAGCTTAGGAGTTCAAGACCAGCCTGGCCAACATGGCAAAACCCTGTCTCTACTAAAAATACAAAACTTAGCCAAGTGTTATGGGACATGTCTGTAATCCCAGCTGCCCCCAGAGGCTGAGGCAGGAGAATTGTTTGCACCTGGGAGGTTACAGTGAGCCAAGATTGCATCACTGCATTCCAACCTGGGCAACAGAGTGAGATTCTGCCTCAAAAAAAAAAAAAAAAAAAAAGCTAGTTTATATCTTAGGAGAGAAGTGATCTTAGAGCTAGCTGAAGGGTTAGAGATGTAACCCTGGAGAAGGTGAATGATAGTAGGTAGGTTTTGTGGTACCACTGTTACTTGGCCTTCCTCAAAGTGTGGGCCACAGACCAGCAGCATCAGCATCGCCTGGGAGCCTGATAGAAATGCAGAGTCCTGGGCCCCAACTCAGACCTTGTGGATCCGATTCTTCATTTTAATAAAGTTATCAGGTGACTCTGCTACCCACTCAAGTGTGGGAACCCTTGGTGTGATGAGGCATGATGCCCTTAGGGTTAATCAGATCAGAGGAGAGGCAAAGGCAGAGGCAAGGGGAGAAGAAGAGCCAGGGAAACCTTGGTGGGGTGAAGGGGAACCTCTATGTCTATCACTGTGTTTTCACACAGCAACCCTTGAACACAGGTAATAGGTAATATGGTTCCTTTTTTTTTTTTTTTTTTTTTTGAGACGGAGTCTCGCCCTGTGGCTAGTCTGGAGTGCAGTGGCATGATCTCAGCTCACTGTAACCTCCACCTCCCGGGTTTAAGCGATTCTCTTGCCTCAGCCTCCTGAGTAGTTGGGACTACACGTGCACACCACCATGCCCACCTAAGTTTTGTATTTTTAGTAGAGACGGGGTTTCACCTTGCTGGCCAGGATGGTCTTGATCTCTTGACCTCATGATCTGCCCACCTCAGCCTCCCAAATTGCTGGGATTACAGGTGTGAGCCACTGTGCCCGGGCTCGATTCCTTTTTAAAATAAGGAAACTGAGTCTCAGAGATGCCTGATGGTTTGTCCAAAGAGAAACAGCTAGACTGTGTTGACCTGAAAGTTCCAGGTAGGCCTGGCCCATTGTTACTCCGTGCTGCCTGTCAGCAGGCACCTGCTGTTTGGAGGGATGTCAGGCAGATGGGCTAAGCAGATGGTCGCATTGGAATCTAAGGCATGCAAAGCTGTGCAGGTATGGAGGTCTAGCAAGAGGAAAGCTACTCATTTGGAGACATTTTATAAATTGTAATGACTGGTAATGATTAAAATGGTCTGGGATGGGGACCAGGCAGTGTGATTTTATAAAAGTTCTCAGGTATTTCTAACAGACAGCCAAGGTTGAGAACCACGGCTGTGAGCATAGGGGACCCTTCAGACATTTGGGAGATCTAACTCAGACTAAGATTCATCGTCATCTTCTCCTGGACCAGGTACCTGGCTTCCCTACGTGGCCACGTGGCTGCCGTGTACCAGATTGCATGGTCAGCTGACAGCCGGCTCCTGGTCAGTGGCAGCAGTGACAGCACACTGAAGGTGTGGGATGTGAAGGCCCAGAAGCTGGCCATAGACCTGCCTGGCCACGCAGATGAGGTAGGGCCAACCCTCGGGCAAAGGAGGGGCAGGGATTGCAGCCTGGCTGTCTCCCTCTCACTACCCCACTTGCCTTCCTCCTCTGCCTCCCTTTAGGTATATGCTGTTGACTGGAGTCCAGATGGCCAGAGAGTGGCAAGTGGTGGGAAGGACAAATGCCTCCGGATGTGAGTGTAGGGGAGGTGGTGGTTGGCGTGATCAGCTCTTCTGCCCCTAAAGCAGTCTCTGTTTGCACACTTTCCCTTATGGTGTAGAATTCTGCAGGGCCCTCCAGGTGCTCAGACTGAGGTGTGTGGAGCCAGGTTTTCAGTGGCAATTGGGAGGGACACAAGAATAACAGACGCCATAGGACATCCTCTTAAAGGGTGTGTCCGGGTCTTTCCCTCACTGGACTTCAGAGTCCCAAGACCCAGGTTCAAATCCTACTTCTGCCAATGAGTAATCACAGAGAACTTTGTTCATTGGTCTCTTGGGAATTATCAAACCTTCATAGACAGGAGGATCAAAAATGGGAGGGTCAACCCTCTGGGAGCTAAAGTGTTGTGTGCTTATAAGGGATTGTAACTGTTTGGTGGTGGGCATTCTGGGGGCCAAGCAGTGGGTGGGCAGCCTGAGTTTGGATGGCCAGAGCAGGCACGGTCGCCCAGCTCTTGGTGACTCTGATGGTGGACCACAGGCTGCCCATCAGTCAACACTGGGATTATGTGGCAGCCTCCCTTTCATGAGGTGGAATCCCCATCCTGACACTCTTCCCTTCTCCACAGATGGAGGAGATGAGAAGACCGGCAGTTCTCTCTGACCCCCCCTGGACTCGGCCTCTGCCAGCTGCCTGCCCTGCCAGAGAACAAAGGGTGGGATGGCAGGGCACACACCCTCCCCACCAGTGGGGACCTGAGAATGCACATGGCCTGCTGTCCTTGACAGACCTGAGTGGGGTCTTCCCACAGGTCCTCTGCCTGTAGCACCAGCCCAGAGCCAGAAGTTGAAGTCACAGAAGGTTGTCACCAACTTGGCCTGTGGCCACCACTCTGTACCTTGCTGGTGCAGGCAAGAGTGGAGGGCAGCCAGGCTCTGAGTGGGTCCTTAGTGTCAGCTCTGTTCTGGGTCAGACCCCAGGTTCTGTGACCAAATGAATAACTTATATTGTGTGTGTTCGGGTTCTAATTCCTTGTCCTAGAATCCTCAGGGCTCAGTCAAGGACTGGGCTAAATCAGTTTGTCCATCCCCCTCCCTTGCTCTGGACGACGCCAAAACCACACTGACCAGGCACTTGCCTTCCCTCTCTTCCTCCGTGTCTGTAAGGGAGAGATCAGTTGTGATAGTGGCCAAGGAGAATCTAGGGCTGTATTGTTGTCCACTACAGTAGGCACCGGCCACGTGTGGCTGCCAACGTGAACTAGAAGTGCAGTTCCTCAGCCGCACTGGGTGAGGCCTCCAGCATTGGACAGCACACAAAGGTTTTTGTCATCTAGAGAGTTCCGCTAGCCAGCCCTGCTCTAGGGGATGTCTCTGCCTTCCCGTAGCACTCTGCTTGAGGTGCTGCTCAGGCACCAAGCACTGCCCTGGGCCCTCAGGATAGAAGTGGGGATGTTGATGGCTGTCCCAGAGCGGCAGTGTGAGCTCTGAGCAGAAGTGGGTATGGTTGATACGGAGGATAGTTCTTTGCCCCATGAGAACTTTCAAGTAGTGAAAGGAATCCCCATTCAGGACTCAGACCCCAGGCTGACATCTTGCTCCAAAGCCTCTGCTTTCTCCTGCATCCCATGCTAAGCTGGGTCATAGTATAAACTACTCAGATTGGGTTTCCAAACCATAAAAGTATGAACTGCTCAGAACTAGCGTCTTGCTCCTTCTCACCCTCCTCCAGCCCTGGCTGTGCTTTGGGTTTTGCATGTCACCTAGCTGTGGTGCTTGGCCTCCACCTTTCACATCTCTGTCATGAGGCTGCGTAAGAAGCACACAGAGCTATTGGCCACTGAGCTCCTCGGGGCCAGGTGCTTGTCTGCTATGCTCAGATTGCACCATGCCTGGAAGGTTCTCAAGCCCTCAAACTTGATATGGAAACAGCACAAGCTTAAATGATTAGCCCGCACCCTCACATCCGGTAAGAGGAAGAGCTGGGATTAAACCAGGCCCTGCCCCAAAGCTTATTGCACACTTTGTACCACATCTCTGCCTCCAGCTCAAGCCAGTTTGACAACCCATGGGACACCATGTCTGTCCATGACAGCTATTTGTTTTTTTCCTGGCATAAGAGCATTTTAGTCTTTGACACCAGTCTCCTTGCCCCCACCTCCCCGCCCCACTGGGGAAGGGGTGATGGCAGCTCCACTGCCTCTTTTCCACCTTCCCAACCCATGTAGACTCTGTCCTGGTAAAGCTAGGAGGTGGGTGTCAGCTGGCCCATCTGAGGCTGTCTGCAGCATAAAGCAGAATTTAGGGTGCTGGATGACCTGCAGTTCTTTAATGAGAGGCCTGGACCCAGCCCAGATTTGGGGAAGAAGGGATTCTGGCAGCTGTGGGCAGTGGCTGGGCCTGGCCTGGTCTGAGATGTCTCTGCGTGAATGGACCCCCCTGTGTATCATTGGCTCTAGCCCTGGGGCGGGTTCCCATACCACTCTGCCAGGCCCTGGGCCGGCATGGTGCTGGTGGTATGGTAAGTCTCATGGTTCTGGTTCTTGGGGGCCCTGGGCTGAAGCTGAAAGTAGGTGAGGGGTGTCCTGGGACCCTCCCCCCTTAATAGGGGGACAGGTATTCCAGGTCCTCCAGCCTCCGCATCTCCTCTGGCCTGATGGACACAATCTTCCGCTGGGGCTTCTTGCGCCGCACGGTGACCTGGATGGGGTTGTTCTCAGGAAAGCTGCTGAAGTCAGTGGCCAGGGTTGCAAACTGAAGTGAAACAAGAAGACAGCTCAGAATTCCCAGATCTGAGCCTGGCTCTCTATGTCTCTGTCACCCCTCCTTTTTTTGTTGTCTGCTAACTCAGACCTTAAACAGTCTTATCCAACTCAGCCATTGACCCAGGAAATAGATGCAAAGATGCGTGATTCAAACCTGTGTCTCCTCCTTTATGGGATGTTTCCTACCAAAGGGCTGTCGGTACTCAGGCCTCTATACCCCCATACCCCCACCCATACCCAGGCTGTTCTCTTCTTTGTCATGTAGCCTCTTGTCTTCCCTGTTTCTTTCAATGCCCTTGACTTCCCAGCCTACTCAATGATTGGCACTGAGTTGCAGAGTCTAAAAACTAATGGCTTTGGAAGGTGAGCATTATAGTGATGTTGGAAAATAGATTAGTTTGCATTCCTTCTGGGTCCCAGAGTGGTTTAATCCTTAAACCTCCCAGAAGCATGCATCCTGGGATTGATGCTTTTTGACCCAGGCAGAAGGAAAGCTAGCCAGATGAGTCATGTGAGTATAAGGGTGTTCTCAACCTCCAAAGCCCTGGTACCCTGGTCTCAGACTTCTCTCCACCCCCAAAGCCCCTCTTTTCCCAGGGCTCACTTTATAGGGCTTGCACCACTTCCCCACTCCAGCTGTGTTGGCTGCACGGACAGTAAGGCAGTAACATGTGTTAGGCTTCAGCTCCATTAGCTTGACAGTGGTGCCCAAAATCCTGTTGAAGATCCATGGACGATTCTTTGCCTTAAGCAACTCATTCTCCTGGGTCTTGGCCACCTCCTGTAACAGGACCTGGTAGAAACTGACTGGCTGCTTGCCCACGGCATAGGTCCAGGAAATCTAGGGGAAGAGAGAGCCCCGAGGCTTCTTCAGATGGGTCCTGTGCTTCCTGTCCCCTCACCCTCCCAACTGGGGTCAGAATGTCCCATGCCCATCCCCTGCACCTGCTGGGACCCAGGCAGGTCAGATGGAGGGTGCAAGGTACTCCAGCACTGGGTGCGGAACCCCTGCCTCATAGCACGTGCTACTATCCTGGGCAGCCTCACCCACCTCAGGGTGCGCCCTCATTCCACCTTCTACATCAGGGCTCCCCAACCCTTGGGCCATGGACTAATAGCAGCCCATAGCCTGTTAGGAACTGGATAGCACAGCAGGAGGTGATGGGTGGGTGAGCAAGCAAAGCTTCATCTATATTTACAGCTGCTCCGCATGGCTGACGGCACCACCTGAGCTCCGCCTCCTGTCAGATCAGCAGCAGCAGTAGATTCTCATAGGAGCTTGAACCCTATTGTGAATTGCATGGGAGGGATCTAAGTTGAGTGCTCTTTATGAGAATCTAATACCTGATGATCTGTCACTGTCTCCCATCACCCCCAAATGGAACCATCTAGTTGCAGGAAACAAGCTCAGGGCTCCCACAGTTTCTACATTATGGTGAGTTGTATAAAAGTATACAATAAATGTAATATGCTTGAATCATCCTGAAAACATTCCCCCAACCCTATCTATGGAAAGATTATCTTCCCTGAAACCAGTCCCTGGTGGCAAAAAGCTTGGGAACCGCTGTTCTAGACTGTCAGCTGAGAGGGACCTTAGAGATCATCTTTTTTTATATAAAAAATAGAGATGGGGTTTCACCATCTTGGCCAGGCTGGTCTTGAACTCCTGACCTCGTGATCCACCCATCTCTGCCTCCCAAAGTGCTGGGATTACAGGCATGAGCCACCGCCCCTGGCCCTTAGAGATCATATCCACTAGGTCCAGAGAGTGCAAGGGACTGGGCCATGATCACTCAGCAATTAAGTGACAGCCAGGGTTCAAACCCATAGCTCCGGGGCCTATATACTTTGTACTACAATGGTTGCCAAGTCTAGCTAAGCATCTCAGGAAGGTTTTATAACTGCAGATTTCTGGGCCTGCTGCCTCCTGTCTGGTTTCTCCTCCATCTAGGCCAGTGGTTGTCAAACTTGGTGTGCATTAGAATACCCTGGAGGACTTATTAAAAGATAAAAGATAGATTGTGCCAGGCACGGTGGCTCACGCCTGTAATCCCAGCACTTTAGGAGGCTAAGGTGGGCGGATCACCTTAGGTTGGTAGTTCAAGAGCAGCCTGACCAACATGGAGAGCCCCATCTCTACTAAAAATACAAAATTAGCCCGGCCTAGTGGCGCATGCCTGTAATCCCAGCTACTCGGGAGGCTGAGGCAAAGGAATCGCTTGAACCCAGGAGGTGAAGGTTGTGGTGAGCCAAGATCATGCCACTGCACTCCAGCCTCGGCAACAAGAGTGAAACTCCACCTCAAAAAATATATAGATACATAGATAGATTGCTGCCCTCCGCCCCAACAGTTTCTGTCTCAGGAGGCCCAAGTGTATTGGAGGGAGATGAGAATTTAAATTTCTAACTATTTGCTGTGTGATGCTGACGCTGTCCATCCAGAGAGCACTTAAGAGAAACACTGCTCTGGGCCATCCAACAATGGAATTCCAGATATCTTCCCAAGATACAGCTCGAATTACTTTCATCACCTGAGATGAAGCTTCATACAAAGCTGTTCCCTATTACAGAAAAATCTCTAAAGTAGCCTAACACTGGAGGACTCTGAAAGATGACCCCAGAGTAGCATTCCCCCTCCTGTCCCCTATCTTCCCTTTCCATAGTCTAGGATGGTGCTATTTGACGTGTAGCCCGCAGACTGGCAGCACCAGCTGCCTCCAGGAATCTGTTACTAATGCAAATTATCACGCTTCACCCCAGACCCTCTAGGGATAAAGCCTGTGAATCCTAAGTAGCCTCACTTGATCCCAGGTCCTCATCCAGGGCTTCGAGTGCTTTCATGTTCCTACAGATCACCTATCGTCTTGTGCAAATTGAGATTTCCTCCCACACTTTCCTGTGAGCTTTTGCTATGGCCCCTCCTCCAGGGAATGCCTTCCCTCCTCCACCTCTAAATGTTTACATGCTATCTCTGTGTCCCAGCCGGGATGTTACCAAAAGCCACCAAGCTTAGTCCCGCAGTGGAGAGTAATGTTTCTTTCCCTCTTAATTCCTGGCAGCACTTGGTCTAAACTTGTCCTACAGCACTGAATCCTTTCTGTCTTGCACTGGAGTTTTACAGATACGTCCTCTCCCTTCCTAAACCATGATCTTGAGGTTGAGAGGCAGGTGGCAGGCACATTCTCACTACCTATGGAGCTCAGCTCAGTGCCTGGCACAACAAGCCTCTGCCGAACACATGAGCAAGG